TTTTTAAATAATTAGTGAAATGCATGTACGAAGTTGTTTATGATTTTCCCGCTAGCTATTGTTTGGTTTCTGCTGAATTAATTTGTTGGCTCACATTTAAAACTATATAATATTTTTTAAAAGACATACCTGAACAAGTGGGCATAAGTAGCATATTAGTTACTACCCTAAACCTCGAAAAGAACCACTCTAATTAGTCAATACATCCTTTTGTTTTTCTTTTAAATTGCCAGGGGGTGAGTGCACTCATGAGAGAGAGAGAGAGAGAGATTGAGAGAGAGAGAGAAGTGAGAAAGCATAACCCATGGGGAGGAATGGTCATACTGCAATCCCTTTCTCCATTTTTCAGGATTTGGGGCATTTACACACACAAGTCCAGTGTGTTGTCGTGTACCTGTATACAAACCCAGCTACTAGGTCTGGGACTGTAAGATTGACCAGTAAGGTAGGATCCAAACACCCTAACCACCAGACCACCACCTGGCTCAGGGTTCACGTATCAAATTTACTAGATAAGGAAATATTGTGAAATGTTTTATACCTTAGTCCTGCAATGCTTCAGATATAGTGTCTCTTGGTACTTACATATATAACAGAGAATATAGGATACAGAGAAGTATAATTAGGTATATTTGTAAATATAATGTAAACTTTACTTAAGGATAGATTTGGGTCATGCGACAAACCCTATCCTTCCTGGGCTGGACCTTGCTCTGACCGATTTTATTTTTTTCTCAAAAACTTGGTTGAAGGGACAAGCAGTTAGTATAATGGCTCTGTCACTGGACTCCCATGTAGTTGACCGTGGTTCACGTCCTGGACCCAGTGGCTTAAAACTCATGCCGGGCGTGTGTGCGTGTGTGCCCAAGATCCCGAGAGGAGAACGGAGGAGAAGGGATTGCAGCATAGCCATCCCCCCTGGGGGGGTGATTTCTCACTTTCTGTCTCTCTGTTTCTCTCTCTCTCTCTGGCGAGCACACATGCCCTATAGCAAAAATCTCTAAAAAAAAAAAAAAAAAAAAGACTTGGTTGAAGAGACATTTAGGTTGATTTAAAATGCATAATCTGAGGCCAGTCAGTGGTGTGATTGTTAAGGCGGCTGGCTCCTACATGGCCAACTGCGAGTGAGTCTTGGACCTGGGAACTTGGGAAACACACTGGACACGTGTGCATGCCCAAAATTCTGAGAGAAGAATGGAGATGGGATTGTGGTGTGGTCATCTCCTTCTCTGGGGGTAGGGGTGATTTCTCAGTTCTTTCTCTCTCATTCCAGCAAGTGCATGTACCCTATAGCAAATTAAAAATAAAAATCACAGTCTGTAAATTTTTGCCCTAGATCTTCCACAGCTAAAGCTGCAGATGCAATTTTGTTAGGCAAAGACAATGCAAAATGAGTGACAGAATATATGTCTGTTTACATATAAACAAAGGAGAGATTATTTATATCACCTATCACCTCATATGGAAAATTTCAGCTTGTAACTTTACTAGGAAAGAAAGATATTGAGTTACTGGACTAGGTGGTTTTAAATCCAGAAGCCTTTCTAAATGATAATATTCTAACAATATATCGAACAAGTCATTTTGGTTTTCTATATAATTTCAATCATAATCTTGCATAATGACAGTTTGTGCTTTACAATTTATCTTTTATGTCATTTTTTCCCCTTTAGTGTGATTGGTAAAGCCCCCCTTCAAAAAAAAAATAGACTTGGTAAGATAGTTATTGCTGACTTGGTCTGAAACCCAAGGAGAATGGTTGCAATATATCATTGGTAGATATAATATTTGTTTTAGGTTTTTGTAGACAACTGCCAGAAAAAAAATACTTTATTCCTTGTTTGCTAAGATTATGTTAGAATTGATCAAACATTTTTCCTGGTGTTTCTCTTTTAATTTGTTAATGTATTGAATTACATTAATTGATTTTCTAAGTTTCATTATTCAGATCTCATTGACTCTTTGATTCATAGCAATTTGCTTGCTATTCAGTTAAACTCCTCTTGCTAAATTAACTAAGGACCTTTTGGTACCCTATCAATTCTATGTGTCACCTATCATTAATGTAACAATATACTGATTCCTGTTCTTAACTAGAACAATCCTTGTTCTTGGTTTCCTTCTTCTATCTGACTACTGTTAAGCCTTTGGTTTCTCCATTCTCTGGTACTCCTCAGGATCCTTGGATAGCTCATCAGCTCTTATGGAATTAAGTATGTGCTGATGATGGCCAAATCTCCACTTATAGTCCAAATTCTTTCTAAACTTCTTTCGCAAATACTCAAGTGCCTCCTCCCTTTTCACTTGAATTACTTACCCCTACTCCCAAATATTCAAACCAGAAGTCATCACCTTCCAACTTTTCTTCTTTATCTGGCTTCTCAGCCTGCTACTCCTTTAGTAATTCCTCCAGGTTAGAGGACTCCATGCATTCAGGCACAAGGAGAAAGCCTCAAGGTCATCTTGACTCCTCCTCATTATTATGGCCCCCAATTCCATCATCCAGTCTTATGGATTCTTTCTCTTGAATTTCATAGCAATGAATTTCTCTTAATTTCTATACATTCACCTGGCCAAGATTATTATTCTCTTCTATTATACTACCAAATTTCATAGTTTTTTTTTCAGGTTATTCCTTCCTTACTTTGTTTCTTTGTTCCTTGTTTCTCCATACTTTCCTTCCTTGCTTTCATCTTCTTTCCAACTAGCCTTCCTTCCTTACTTTTTCCCTTCCTTCCTCACCCTCTTCTCTTTTTGTAATTTAAAGTATCTATCCTAAATAAAAAATATTTTTATTCATAAAACGTAATTTACCAGTCTGGCCTTATAGCCTAGTAGTTGAGGGAACCAGATTACATAAGGCTAAAGACAATTTGAATCCTAGTCTTGGCAGCTGAATAATATGATGGGCCCATAAGTGTACATGACCCAAATTCCAACAGGTTGGAGAAATGAAAGAGATGGGATTGCAGCATGACCATACCCCATTGGGTAAAGGTTTCTTTCTCTCTGCCTGTCTCTCTCTGACAGGTGCATATGCTCATTAACAATTAAAAAAATTTAAAAAGTAATTTACCAGTAGATTATTAAAAAATCATCAGTTTTGAAATATATGCTTTTAAAATTATTATTAGAATTTAACTGAGGAGGAGCATGACAGTAATATTGAAAAGAGTCAAGTCTTTTTATTTTTTTTTGAGAGGTTTCTTGCTATAGGGTGTGTGTGCTTGCCAGAAAGACAGAGAGACAGAGAGAGACAGAAAGGGAGAATCCAGCCCCAGGGGGACAGCCACGCCACAATCCCTTCTCCTCCATTCTTCTCTCGGGATCTTGGGCATGCATGCACACACGCCCGGTGTGAGTTTAAGACACGAGTCTGGGACTCGAACTGTGGTCAACTACATGGGAGTCCAGTGACGTAGCCATTATGCCATCTCTGGTCCTGCATTTTTAAAACTATTTTATAATTTTTTGGGGGGATGTGGTTGGGTAACACTTGAACACTAATTACTATTAATAGGAAGTTTATTTGCTCACACAAAAACCAAGTGTTAAACCAAGATACAAAGTCTGAGTTCATTTTTAATGCATTGACTTTAGCCAAAATTGTTAGTGGACCATAAACCACATAATATTGTTTACTATTTCCTTTAAAATGATATTCTCTGTCCAATTAGACAGGGGTCCCCAACCTCTGGGGCACAGACCAAAATGGGTCCATGGTCTGTCAGGAACCAGGCCACAAAGCAGGAGGTGAGTGACAGGGAGCAAATGAAACTCCTCTGTATTTATAGCCACTCCCCATTGCTTGTGTTATCACCTGAAATCCACTTCCTGCCATCTCAAAGATGGCATTAGATTCCTATATGAGCAAACTCTATTGCGAACTGTCCATGCATGGGATCGTGGTTGGGTGCTCTTCTAAACCAACCACCCTTTCCTTCTTCCTCTAGTCTGTGGAAAATTGTCTTCTACAAAACCAGTCCCTGGTGCCAAAAAGGTTAGGAACCACAGTATTAAGGATTAAATTGACAGCATTATATCTCTAGCCAAAACAAATGGAACATATATAAATACAAGCAAAGAGTAAAATGGAAGAATGTGTTTAATCATGAACTTATTGCTTTGAAATACTCGATAACATTTAGACTGACATTAGAGTAAATTATCATTATGGAGTTTTAAATTCTAAAAAACAGTTGGGATTTGGTGTTTTTTGTTTGATCAGTGCAAATTATGACTTATGAATGTCTTCATGAAATGCTAAATATCTTCACGCTCCATGTCGAACGCCACTACTATATTTTTCCCCCTTTTTGTAATTGTTATCACCTTCTCTTTGTTCACCATGTTTTATTAATAGTTCTGTCTGATGGATTTTCTCTGTTTTTGCTATTTGTTATACTTCTTATTGCTTTCTTTTTTGGGTGGTAACATGGACTGCATTTGCAAGAGGTCAGACACACAGCAAGCACTTACAAAATAGTTGTTGAATACTAAGAACATTATTAAGATTAAATTTAGAACTTTCTATGAAAAACAATAGAGATTTGGCTCTAAGTGATATATTATTACAAGTGAAAAGGAAGGTACAAGTCTGTGAAAAATAATCTGGCCCGTATTTGCATGTTAACGTGATTGAATTTAACCGTTAAATCATAAGTGGAAAACTTCAGTTTGTGCCAATAATAAATGCACACAGAAACAGTTTTGCTGAGTATTTAGTAGCTTTTTCAACATAAAAATGTTTGTGTGAAGATATGGAACACTGTATTGCTGAGCAGAACTGTATGGATTAAGTTTGGGATTAAATGAAAGTAAGGAAAAGGATTTGCTTGAGTACAAATAAAACTCTATCCAACAGCAGGAGGTTCTGATCAAGGCTGAAACTGCAATACAAGTAATGAAGATAAACATCAGAAACGAATGCTTATTCCTCAACAGATTATAAATTGATCACTGAGACAAAGTATAGACATTTGGACTTTTTTCCTATAGAGATGCTCACCGGACTGGATAAACTCTTTCTGGGCCTGGCGATAGCAGAATTCATCATCGGAATGCTGGGGAATGTGTTCATTGGAGTGGTATACTGCTCCCAGTGGGTCAAGAACCAAAAGATCTCCTTGGCTGACTTCATCCTCACCTGCCTGGTTATCTCCAGAATCATTCAGCTTTTGGTGTCACTGTGTGATTCATGTGTAGTTAAACTAGCCTCACCTTTACATGCCACTTACAAGCTAGTAAAATCTGTTATTATCCTTTGGAGAATAAGTAACCACTTGACTACTTGGTTTGCCACCTGCCTAAGCACAGTCTACTTCCTTAAGATTGCCCATTTCTCCCACCCTCTTTTCCTCTGGCTGAGGTGGAGAATGAACAGAGTGGTTTTTATGCTTCTTCTGCTTTCTTTATTCTTGCTGATTTTAGATATTGTAACGCTAGAACGATTTTTTGATCTCTGGATAAATATCTATCGAATAGATAAAAGTAATCTAACTTTCTACTTACGTGAAACTGAAACTTTCTATACTAAAGACATAACTCTGCTTAGAGTGACCTATTTTGTCCCCATTGTTCTGTCTCTGACCTTCTTGCTCCTTCTGTTTCTGTCCTTGGTGAGACACACTAGAAATCTGAAGCTCCACTCCACTGGCCATGGAGACTCCAGCACAGAGGCTCATAAGCGGGCAATGAAAATGGTCATGTCTTTCTTCTTCCTTTTGATAGTACATTATTTTTCCACACAAGCAGGACTGTGGGTATTTTCTACATATTGGAATGAAAAGTACATAAAGTTTGTTGTATTAACACTTAGCGCTTTTCCCACGGGCCACTCCTTTATTATGATTCTAGCAAACCGCAATCTGCGACAGACAGTCTTGGTGGTGCTGGGCCGTGTTAAGGGCCACTTGAAAAGATCAAACCGTCTAGTTTTATAGATGGACTTTCCGGAGACTTTTCTAAGCAAACAGCATAATGAGAAACATTAAAGAATTTTTCTTTTTAAAATTTTTCTACTGGTTCCTGTCTGTATTGTTGAGCAGAACTGAACTTTTCCATGATGGTAATTCACATGTGGTCAGCAAATATCACTTTAAGAGTAATAATTTTTATTTCAAGCATTGACAAGCAGTACTTTGAAATCTTAAATATTATTTCAAAGAGAATCTAAATTATTTAATTGCATGTGCAACTATATATATTTATATATGTAATTGTAGCTTCTGGGTATAAAATCTTGTAACTGTTCAGCAAACAATATATATATATGTAGACTATGTATAAAGTGTGTGAAGAAAATTTAATTAAAGAATGAAAGTGAGGGACCAACAGTTGGTTTAATGGCCATGATGCTGGACTTCCATGTAGTTGACTATGGTTTGAGTCCTGGACCCAGTGGCTTAAACTCACGCTGGGCACGTGTGCGTGTGTACCCAAGATCCCGAGAGGAGAATGGAGAATGGATTGCAGCGTGGCCATCCCCCCTGCGGGGTGGTTTCTCACTTTCTACCTCTCTGTCTCTCTCTGTCTTTCTGGAGAATGCACACTCCCTATGGCAAAAACCTCTCTTTCAAAAAAAAAAGAAGCAATGTTGCAATGTTTCTGGGGCCGGCAGGTGACGTGGTTAAGGCCGTTGGACTCCCACGTGGTTGACTGCATTTTGTGTGCTAGATCGGGCAGCTTGCTTTCTCACTTTCCTTCACTCTGTCTCTCTGGTCAATATCAAAAAAATAAAATAGTGACAGCAAATAAAATTAAATAATTCTTTTTTTTAAAAAAACAATGTTTCTGCCATGTTATGTTATTGAACTATAAATATACTTAATTATATTTATTTTATTTAAAAAAAAGTTACCAGCACATGTGCAATCACCAGAGACAGAGAAAGAGGGCAAATAATGTAAGGGAGAAAGCACCCCTCCAAGGACCATGGTAATGCCACAATCCCTTGTCTGCAATTTTTCTAGACTGTGGAATTTGGGGCACACATACAGGCACCCTTTTTATTTATTAAGCTGCCAGGGCCTGGGTTCAAATCCAGTTGGCCATGTGGGATTGAGCTCCCTTAAGTAGTAGGCCATGGTGATGGCCCATGACAGTTTGCCTTCTATTCAGTTCGTAAGTGACCTATCACTAATTTAATAGCATATTGATTACCGTCTTAATTAACACTCCTTGTTCTCAGTTTCCTTCTTTCATCTGAGCATGTCATAGTCTTTTCTTTGGTTTCTCTTATCTCTGGTGCTCCTCAGGGCCCTGGGAGCTCATCTCCTCTTACGAAATCAAGCATGTACTGATGATAGCCAAATCTCCACTTGTAGCCCAATTTCTTTTTTAAGCTGCTGTCACAAATACCCAAGTGCTTAACCCCTTTCCACTTGGATGACTTACACCTACTCCCAAATGTTCAAATCTGAACTCAGCATCTTCCAACTTTTCTTCTTTCTCTTCTCTGTGACTTCTAAAGCGATTTTGTGATCGCCTTTTCTCTGGTGAAACTGAAACTTTCTATACTAAAGACATAACTCTGCTTAGAGTGACCTATTTTGTCCCCATTGTTCTGTCTCTGACCTTCTTGCTCCTTCTGTTTCTGTCCTTGGTGAGACACACTAGAAATCTGAAGCTCCACTCCACTGGCCATGGAGACTCCAGCACAGAGGCTCATAAGCGGGCAATGAAAATGGTCATGTCTTTCTTCTTCCTTTTGATAGTACATTATTTTTCCACACAAGCAGGACTGTGGGTATTTTCTACATATTGGAATGAAAAGTACATAAAGTTTGTTGTATTAACACTTAGCGCTTTTCCCACGGGCCACTCCTTTATTATGATTCTAGCAAACCGCAATCTGCGACAGACAGTCTTGGTGGTGCTGGGCCGTGTTAAGGGCCACTTGAAAAGATCAAACCGTCTAGTTTTATAGATGGACTTTCCGGAGACTTTTCTAAGCAAACAGCATAATGAGAAACATTAAAGAATTTTTCTTTTTAAAATTTTTCTACTGGTTCCTGTCTGTATTGTTGAGCAGAACTGAACTTTTCCATGATGGTAATTCACATGTGGTCAGCAAATATCACTTTAAGAGTAATAATTTTTATTTCAAGCATTGACAAGCAGTACTTTGAAATCTTAAATATTATTTCAAAGAGAATCTAAATTATTTAATTGCATGTGCAACTATATATATTTATATATGTAATTGTAGCTTCTGGGTATAAAATCTTGTAACTGTTCAGCAAACAATATATATATATGTAGACTATGTATAAAGTGTGTGAAGAAAATTTAATTAAAGAATGAAAGTGAGGGACCAACAGTTGGTTTAATGGCCATGATGCTGGACTTCCATGTAGTTGACTATGGTTTGAGTCCTGGACCCAGTGGCTTAAACTCACGCTGGGCACGTGTGCGTGTGTACCCAAGATCCCGAGAGGAGAATGGAGAATGGATTGCAGCGTGGCCATCCCCCCTGCGGGGTGGTTTCTCACTTTCTACCTCTCTGTCTCTCTCTGTCTTTCTGGAGAATGCACACTCCCTATGGCAAAAACCTCTCTTTCAAAAAAAAAAGAAGCAATGTTGCAATGTTTCTGGGGCCGGCAGGTGACGTGGTTAAGGCCGTTGGACTCCCACGTGGTTGACTGCATTTTGTGTGCTAGATCGGGCAGCTTGCTTTCTCACTTTCCTTCACTCTGTCTCTCTGGTCAATATCAAAAAAATAAAATAGTGACAGCAAATAAAATTAAATAATTCTTTTTTTTAAAAAAACAATGTTTCTGCCATGTTATGTTATTGAACTATAAATATACTTAATTATATTTATTTTATTTAAAAAAAAGTTACCAGCACATGTGCAATCACCAGAGACAGAGAAAGAGGGCAAATAATGTAAGGGAGAAAGCACCCCTCCAAGGACCATGGTAATGCCACAATCCCTTGTCTGCAATTTTTCTAGACTGTGGAATTTGGGGCACACATACAGGCACCCTTTTTATTTATTAAGCTGCCAGGGCCTGGGTTCAAATCCAGTTGGCCATGTGGGATTGAGCTCCCTTAAGTAGTAGGCCATGGTGATGGCCCATGACAGTTTGCCTTCTATTCAGTTCGTAAGTGACCTATCACTAATTTAATAGCATATTGATTACCGTCTTAATTAACACTCCTTGTTCTCAGTTTCCTTCTTTCATCTGAGCATGTCATAGTCTTTTCTTTGGTTTCTCTTATCTCTGGTGCTCCTCAGGGCCCTGGGAGCTCATCTCCTCTTACGAAATCAAGCATGTACTGATGATAGCCAAATCTCCACTTGTAGCCCAATTTCTTTTTTAAGCTGCTGTCACAAATACCCAAGTGCTTAACCCCTTTCCACTTGGATGACTTACACCTACTCCCAAATGTTCAAATCTGAACTCAGCATCTTCCAACTTTTCTTCTTTCTCTTCTCTGTGACTTCTAAAGCGATTTTGTGATCGCCTTTTCTCTGTTCACATTTTGTTTTGTTCTTAGTTCTGTCTCCTTGTTTCTTTCTGTTTTTACTATTTTTTGGATGAATATTTATTTATTTATTTATTTATTTATTTATTTATTTATTGCTACAGAGCACAAGGCTTGTTGGAGAGTCAGAGAGAAAGAGAGAGAGAGAGAAGGGAAGTGAGAACACACTCCCTACCCTCCAGGGGATGGCCTACTTTCCTTTCTCCTCCACTCTCTTCTTTGATTTTGGGCATGCATACCCTCACACCTTTGTGTTTTTAAGTCGCCAGACAAGGACTTGAACTGTGCAGATGGCTGGGTAGGATCCTTAATCACTGCTAGCTGGCCCTGAATTTCTTAATATTTTCTTTCTTGGAGTAACATGTAGAGCATTTGTTATAGGTCAGACACATAATAAGCATTCACAGAAGATATTTGTTAAGTACTGACTATACTATTAAGATATTTTTGTGGCTTTTAAAAAAAGAAAACAACAACAGAGAGTTTGGGTTGTAGGTGGTGTAGTATTTCAAGTGAGGAAGAATGAAAATCTGTGAAAAAGAATCTGATCCATGTTTGCATGTTAACATGATTGACTTTAATCTTTTAATCATTACAGCAAGTGGAAAACTTCAGCTGGTACCAATAATCAATGCATACAGAGGCTGTTTCATTTAGAATTTAGTACCTCATCAACCCATAAAAACATTTGTGTGAAGGTACGTTATGAAATTGTGTGATCAACAAAATGTTGGGGGAAAAGGAATGGAAGACAACTGTATATAGCAGAGATAGTGTAATAAGAGAGTGGGAAAGGGCAGAGGGTCAAACATGGTGTAAAAAACATATATATACATATACATATGTATGAAAGTAGAAATGGAATATTATTGATGATAACATGCATGATATTCTAGATGGGAAACCACATTTAGTATGTTGTGATGATGCTCAGGGAATGAATGTTAAGTAATTTAAAAAAAGTTGCAGGAGAAAAAAATAAAAGAGTAAAACTGTTCATATTGAAATTTAAAAAAAAATGCATATTTGATGACTGCAGTAAGCTATATAGCCCCAGCTGGGTACTACTTTATAATATGTTCATTCTACTCACTGAGGTTTATGCCTAAAGTCAGACTTGGGTTCATGTATAGGTATATATCAGCTGTGATAGCTATTTGATATATTTAGACTAATTAAGTTCATTAGCAAATCAATTAAATGGGGGGGGGAGGCATAGAAAGCAACCATGGATACCAGAGACAATGTGGGAGGAGGGTGGGACATGGCAGAGGGTGAGGGATAGGGAATCAAGGATGGCAAAATGAAAAACAAAGTATACAAGACATAAGAATTGGAAAATTATTTGCTGATAACATGTATGTTGATGTGCTTGATTGAGCCACTACACAGTGTATTTTGGATGGAAAATTCATCTGTATGCTGTAATGATGTATAGTGAATTAATGTA